AAAAGTTTTCATGGAGCAAAGTCAAATTATGAGGTCATCCAAATAATTTATACCTGAGGATCCTGTTTTGTTAAGAGATCAGAGTCAGTCTTGATGTAATTTCTTTGTGCCAATGTTGACCTGTCTCAGGGCAATTGCTTGAGGCCCAGAGCAATTGCTTCCCCCCTCCCTGTCTGATTTCTGCTCCTAATTTGTGTGCCTGATTACTCTTCTGAAGAAGGAAAAACAAACAAACAAGAGAAATTGTGCAGTTCAGTACAGGCGAGAGGGAATGCTTTCCTTTAAAAATAGGAAACATCTACAGAACAGATTGGCATTGACGCTCCCTTTTAAAAACAATTGTTATTAAAACTAAAAATCAGAAGTTTTCACCTGTCCTGTCTTCAAGGACCTGAGGATGGCACGCGTGGCTCTTCCCCCTTTGATCTTTATAACAGTCCTGAGGAGTAGGTTCGGGTGGGAGCGAGAGAGACTGGGCCCAGGGTCAGCCAGATTGCACTGCTGGTCCCATGACTTGCTGTGCCTTTAGGCAGATCATGAGAGGGAGGACAGGAAGGGGTGAGCCAGTGCTTGGCTCTTGTGGCCCTTTCTTTTATGCCCCAGGTAATGCTGAGCGTCAGTTTGGGATCAGGAAGGGGTTTTTTCCCAGGCCGGATTGGCCCAGGGATCCTTGGTGGTGTTTTGCCTTCCTCTGGGCATAGAGCAAGGGCCACTGTCTGTGTGTGTGTGCTTGGTGGGGGTCGCAGTGAATCTCCTGCATTGTGCAGGTGGCTGGAGTAGATGGCCCTTGGGGTTCCTTCCAGCTCTCTGTTTCTGTGTTTTGTGGCTGAATCAGAATTTGAACCCCAGTCTCATCCTGTATTACACTACCGGTGGCTTTTAAAAGTGGGTTCGTTGTCCCCCCCCCCTCTTTCTCCAGGGAGTGGAGGGGCACAGTCTGTTCTTTTATCCCCGCAACAGCCTTATGAGGTAAGTTAAACAGAGAGATGGTGACACACTATGCTTTGTGGCCGAGGAGGGTTTGAACAGAATAGCCTCTCAGTTGTGTGGGAGAGAACATTATGCTATTGGCAGTGGTTCCACGTGAGTTTAGCACTAATAAAGTACGTTAAACAGATCTTTGGGGAGCGCTCTGGTCATTTTCCCCTTTCCCGTTTTAGGGCGAATGCACCCATATAGGGCATTTGCTCATATGCTAGAGAGTCACCGTGCTATTTCTTTCCTGTGTTTCCAGTTGCTGGCGTGGCAACATTCTTACTGCCTAGTGGGTGAGACTATACAGATAAGATGGCCCAGGCTAGCCCGATCTTGTGAGATCTCAGAAGCTAAGCAGAGTCAGCCCTGGTTAGCACTTGGATAGGAGACCACCAAGGAGGTCCAGGGATGCTCCTCAGTGGCAAACCACCTCTGTTCCTCTCTTGCCTTGAAAACTCTGCTAGGTCGCGATAAATTGGCTGCGACTTGACAGCACTTTACATACACACAGCTGGATGTTTTGTCGCTCAGTCTGAGCTATTGCTCTTTGGACTAATCAGTAGTCACGTTCAATGCTCCTTCTAAGCTGTGGAGTCTTGTGAGCAAAAATTCTACTTTGTAAGGTAAAGGTAAAGGTTCCCTTGCTCGAAAGCCAGTCAAATCCGATGCTAGGGTTGCGGTGCTCATCTCCGTTTCAAAGCCGAAGAGTCAGCACTGTCCGAAGACGTTTCTATGGTCATGTGGCCGGCATGACTATTTATTTATTTATATTTACATTTATATCCCGCCCTACCCCGAAGGCTCAGGGCGGCTGACAAGGGCACTGTGTGCCGGGTTAAAAAATAACATATAAATTTAAAAACAATTTAAAAACAATAAATTACAATACAATATCATAACAATTTACAACAAATGTATGCAAGAAGGGGAGATCTTAAACCTCGCATAGCTACGTCCTACAATCTTGTCCTCAGAAGCGTGTCCAAGCACCTCGCTCCACCCTTGGGGCCAGGCAATCAGATGTTTGTATGCCAGGGCATAGGGGGTACAGGTGGAATAGCGGTGGCAGCGGCTCCTACTCAAAAGCCTGGCGGAAGAGCTCCGTCTTGCTGGCCCTGCGGAACTGAGAAAGGTCCCGCAGGGCCCGGATCTCCTTCCACCAGGTAGGAGCCGCCACCGAAAATGCCCTA